AATGAAGGAATCTTGATTTTTTGATTTCAGATGATCTAGCACCAAGTTATGTGGAACAATGCAAACCTACTTTTCTCCGAGACGCTACATAATAATTCCTTTCATTGCCATAGTTTTTAATATACACATATCCACGAACATATAACAGAATATTATTCAAATGTCATATTGTTATGTACCATTGGGGTTATTTAACAAAAGTGTCTTTACAGAAGTTCCTTTTTCAATGAACTTTTTACGAAAAACTTGTTCTTGGTTAATTACCTCTTTTCTGAAAAAAATAACTATCTAAGTCTTCATATAGCATATATGTTGCGATAGCAAACAGTTTATTTTACCGAAAAGCTGAAAATTTCTGCAGGTCCTTATTTGAAAAGCTTTTAAAGAAATTTCAGAATACAATAAGGGCAAATAATTTAGAAGGACTTTAAGTAGAAAATTAATAGTTCATTTCAATTGTGAAGACGTAAGAAAGAGGCTAATGTTTTGGACCAATATTTGGATATAAGAAGATAAGTTTAAACCAAAATTTTGTGAAAGAAATTTTTCTACAAGAAAAAAGTCTATATACAAAAGTTATAGATCTTTTCAATACCTACAACATTGCCATTTAATGTTTTTCTATAACCTTCGTAGTTTTGCCGAAAATCGACATAAGCGGTTTTAAACCCTTATACCTATGTATGTAAATTCAACCACGCCTCTCCTCTTCCTCTGCACGACCTCAGATCGCCGGTAAATTATGTATTTTTCCTTTAATTTTTGTAAGTTTACCTTTGGTTTGCAATGGTTTTCAACCAACTATGGTTTTTGTTTTTTCTTTTTAAAAACTATATACCCTTACCCACAACTGCATGTTCTCGCGAATTTTGGCCTGATTTATGTTTATTGAGGTTTATGAAAATTTCTCCGAAAGTATGACAGTACCCAAGTGAATAAAAATTATATTTAAAACTTTTCCACGAGCTAAATTGATTAATGGATAGTGCCGTCAGTGTTAGGAAAATGTTCAAATTTCCAAAAATTAAAAAAAAATCCAAAAAAATTCAAAACTATCCAACAAATAATAATAAAAACTAATTAAGTTGTAAAAAAAATAGAAAATTTATATAATTATTTAATTTAATTGTCAAAAACATTACAACAATTATTTTTTTACTATTAAATACTATTATACAATTTCAGGTCGACCAATAAGCGTTTTTGTATAACTAAACGTTACAAATGTAACGTGGCATTTTAACAATTCAACCTCGTTCTTCAGCGGTTGTTGATAAAATCATCATCTCACCTACACGTACTTAAGTAAGTATATGTATATACATATATGTATCTCAATTATTCGCACATATTGAGATTTATTGCTATTTTTTGTTGTTTAATATTAATATTTTTATAATAATTCATTAGTATTATTTTTTTTTTTTTTGGATTCCCACCTTAAAACTTAATCAATGTTATTTGCATGTACACATGTAAGTATGGCTGCATGCAGGATAGCGAATTACATACAACAATTATACGTTTATTACATAATATTACAATATATATTTACGTTTACGAATACACCGTTACCCAAATTGGCTGACAATAATATTTGTTTATCTGTATATATAATACTAACTAGCAAGGCATTGTTTGATTGATTGATTGATATACATACATACATTTATAATTACTTTTTTATAAATATTTTAATTAATTGTACATACATATTTAGCTTCTATAATAACGATTTTACACAAATAATTTTATTTCCGATATACATTTGTATGATTTGTTGTATTAACACATGTATAATTTATGGAAATTTGTTTATACTAATAATGAAATTTTAGTAGCACAACTCGAAAAAGTGTTTTGATTACAGTTGATATTTCAAAATCTAACTCAAACTGTTATAAATTTAGTTTTTTTGAAATTATTTTTTATAATATAATTTAAAAAAAGAATTGTTGAAAATTTTTTTTATGAATTTATTATTAATTTAACTCAAATTATGAAGAATTAAATTTTTTGGCAATTATTTCTTTTTGAATTAATTTTAAAAAAATTTCGAAACGAGTTTTTTATGATTTTATTATTATTTATTTTAATATTTTGGAGTTTTTAAAAATTAATATTGCTTGCCAATCCATTTATTTTAAAATATTTTTTATTATTTTGCTTTTAAAATTTGTTTTGGAAATTATTTGAAATAGTTAATTTAAAAAATTTGTTTCTAAAATTATTTAAAATAAGAACTTTTTATAGCCACTTTTTTTTTTGATTTTATAATCGATTTAGGAAAAAAAATTTAATTACTTTTAATTTTATTTAAAGTTTTGTTGAACATTTTTTTTCAAATCTTTTTTTTAATTATTATTGTTTGCGTATGTGTTTTAAAATATTTTTGAGAAGTAAAGTACTTTTTTTTAAATTTATTTTTTAATTATTTGTAATAATTTTTTTTTATGTTATATAATATTTTTCGCAGCCTGCAAATAGTCCGTTCACTGCAAAAAAATTATTAAATTTGTATATCTTTTAACTGCAAAATGCTTTTTAATAATTTTAATGAAATTGCGATGACTTTTTAGGTCTTTTTATATAATTACCTAATTTTTTTTAATTATGTAGCAAATTTATGTTTTTTTAAAAGCATGCAAATGTAAATTTAAAAAAAAAATATTATTTTTTATTAATTACAAATAATTTTTTTTTTTTTTTGATTTTACACCTACACACTTAATTTTGTGTTACACAATTTTTATTTTGTCATTACTATGTATTTTGTGTCTTATAATTTTTGAACCCTAAGCTCTAATTGCGATTTTCACAACCATTTGACTAGTATAATTATAATTACGCTACACGATAACGGTGTCATTATGATGTCATTAGAATATTTCAAAATCACAATATACATCTTTTCCTACACACCTATTAATTGAAAAGTTTTCTTTAAGGAAAACCAAAAAAACATATATAATATTTTTTACCCAATCACATGATTTTGAAACAATTTTTTTTTTTTGATAAACTTATTACAACGTTTGAATATATCGAATATTCAGTAAAACAAGTTTTAAGTTCCCAAAATTATAGAATTTTGGATTTTTTTTAACTTATTTTTTTATGATTCAATTGAAAATTTTATTCAAAACGTTTCGTATTCCAATATTTTTTACTAATCGTCTTTTGTAAAATCAAGCTTTAAGGAAAATTTCGAATAAATTTCCCAGATTAAGGATGATTTTACTGATCGTCTTTTGTAAAATCAAACTTTCGAATTTCAAATAAATATATTCAGGTTTAGGATGTCTCAGTTAGTTTAAGGTTATTATTTATTTAATGTACGCTCAAATACTGTATTTTAAGTTGTTATTTAAAATTATTTTATGTTTATATAATTGAGGTTAGGAAAACATGATTTTAAATTGCAAAAGTTGTGTGTCTGTAACTAAATGATGGTCTGAACAAAGTCTCTTTTAATGAAAGCTCTCATAAAAAATTAAGCAAGCGAGCGACCGACCACTTGGACAATATTCTTACAAATGAATCACCAGATAGTTCGACAAAGAGTTTTAAGCGTATTACAAATTTGTTAAGGCAGTTAACATTAATCCCAGCCACTTCGCTAGGTTCGCCGAAGGTATGTTTACCGATATATTTCAATCTCAGTCTAGCAAATGCCGGGCAATAGAGGTGAAAGTAATGAGATGTTTCCTCCTCGCCTTCCTCCATACATATTTGGCGAAAAGCGTCCGACAAAATATAATATTTAACCGCATCACGTGTGAAGCGTTTAGACGGTGTCCAGTCACACAAATACTGTTTGTTGACCAGCGCAATGAGAGCGCACAGGAGGGCTAAAAGCCGAGCACATACCTGGTGGTCTTCTATTAAGGTTTCTTGGCTGCCCGCAAAGTACCAGCAGATATGCTTCCACAGTTCCTCCAACAAGGCGAGCATTTACTCTGATTTTATTGAGGAAACACCTAGTATATAGTATATAGAGTATTTAGGCTCATTATTTATCACGTCAATCTAAGTACTTCGTTTTAATATTTGTATGGGTGTCAAACCATAACGGAATCGCCGTAAACTATAAATTAATAAGCATCCAACAAAGGAAAGCATCCAATTTCATCACACCGGAAATGAGTTGGAAGACCGCTGACCTCTTGTAGCTTATGTTAGCAATGATATAGGAAGGAAATTTGGATAGACACCAATGGGCAACTTTGTTCGCAGAAAGCCATGGTATTACAAGTATATTATATAAATATCACGACACTTTCTCCGTTCTAATATTTGCTAGACTGAGCTTAAAACATATTAAACATCATAGCTTCGCCGAACTAGGCGAATTGGCTGATGTCGATATTAAGGGGTTATATTACATTTTGAATTTCAAAAAATCCAGAAAATTTCTCCGAAACGGTTAGACCGGTCGACTTGAAATTTTCACACAACCTTCTTATATATACCATTCATTTTTGACAGGCAGTAATGGAAAGAACAATATACAAAAAATAAAATTGTTTGATAATAATTTTGATTTTTTAAACCATTCTGAAATGTAAATATGTAATACACTAAATAGTATCTCAGTTTATGAGATAGCAGTCTGAGATTTTGCACACGTTTTTTTTTCACCAAGAAGTTGCTCATTTGTCGGAACCGCCGATACAACTATAACATATAAGTAGCAGCCTTACAAACTGAACGATCCAAATCAAGTTCTTATATAAAGAATTGTTTAGTTGACGAGGTTTCTTCAAGTAATTTGGCAGAGATAATTATCCGCCATCACTACAATCTGCGAAGAAATTGTTTCGGTCGGACTACTATAGCATATTGCCATACAACTGGCTGATCAAACTGAAGCACCTATGAAGGGTATTATAGCTTCGAAAAATCTCTCTCACCGCCAGACACTTTTTTTCCGACGTCCTCCTAGAGATCGGCTACGGTATCAAGGAAATAAAAACTTTTTTTAAACGAATAACCAATAATTAAGTACATTGAATTCTGTAATTGTATATTTTGCTTATATAATTTATAAATAAACTGTCTTTTCAAAAAAGAAAAAAATTCGCAAAAGTCGCATTTTTTTACATCAAATGGGTATAACTCGTTAACCACCTCAACAGATTTGTGTTTGCTTACAGTGCTTCGTCGATACATGAGCATCTTTTGATCCATACTTGGAGTTTTTCTGTCAGCATAACGGACTTAACCTAACCTAACTTGGTGCGTACTCAATATAAACTACAATACAATGCTCTGTGTCGATACATAAGAAATATCGATATACTTGAATTTATCTAGTGCGAACATCAACCATGTCTTTAGCTTATTGAATTCTTAAATTTCAAGTTTTTAAAATCAGTTCACTTTGCCAGTACTTATAAATCATAATTGGGTTTAAACAAAATACTGTGTTGTTTGAAAAATTTTAATTAATTAAAAATACCTTAAGAACACTAATTCTTTAGTGGCAATTAATTTAGGTTTTATATAGCAATTTAATTTAGGAAGACTTTGAAAGTAATTTTCAGACAAATACTCAAATTAGCTGTTCATATAGTAATATACCAAACATATATGTATGTATATACAAAGGTACATGAATACAATTTTTGGAAACTTCAACTATGATAGTACGCTAAATTCACATGCAAATTATTTGTAAATTAAATTTAATTTACACACTCATAAATATATATGTACACCTAAATTCCGAAATATGCACAGCTAATATATTATATATACTTGTAGAAATATTTATAATTATAAATCGTTCAATTCATTATTGTTAAACACTTAATATGAACGTTTGAATTAAGCATAAATGATCTTAGGTACATATTCGTGTGCGTAGACACATAACCGTTATTGGTTTGTGAATACTCAGTAAGTTTTCTTATTACGTTTATATTTATTGGTTCTGCGGCATTTAACTTAAACAAATCTAATAATACTTATCTATATGAAGCTCCCAAGCATGCAATGCTGCATCTGATTCCGGTTTACAGTGATACTTCGATGTTTTCAATCTACTCCGACCGCTTTTTTTCTCAAAATTTTAACCATATATTTTTATCTGTTTTTTGTACAAATTTTCTCCGATAATTTCTTTTATCACCTCAGAAATTTATATCAATTTTAGTTTACAGTTAATGGTGACATTTATTTAACCTTTACAGTTCTTTTCGGTTCTGGAGCCTTTACTTCATTTTTTAAACAAGAAATAACTATACATGCCTTACTAAAATAAAATAATATATTATAATATACAATTGTAGAAGAAGATGAGTGCTTATACAAAAACTGCTACTGCCGGGGAACTAATAAATGAGAGTTTTGTTTCGAACTATGTGAGACTTTTTTAAACTATGCTGTCTCACAATTATTTTTTAGTCCTATTTCGAAGTAGGTTATTGAAGAGATAAGTATTACTCAATGTTTTTCCAATGATCGTGCAGTAAAAAATTAAAAAAAAAAACAACGAATTTATGTTTTAATTCAAGAGGGGGTTGTTGGGGGACAAAAGAGCGACTTGTAATTCTTAAATAGAAATGGAGAATATTCTTTATATCAATGATCATCTTAAGAGTTCCAGAATAACCAATATTTCAGCAAGCAATACTAAGCTAGATATGCTTTGAATATAACTTGGAAGCTCTTAACTTAAGTTAAAGAGATGATCCACTTACCTAGAATGTTGATAAAATCAGTTGATGTCTATTACCTAATGGAACAGCTAAAAAGATCTTCCCCAGATTTGAAATTAAGGATACTGCTCAATTTATGTACGGATACAATTCTCATCTCCTACTTCAAGAGTCTAGTTCAAGTCTATTCATTATTATTAGACCCATTGTTCTCCCGAGTGGTAACCAAATCCAGCAACTCAGTGGATTTAATAAAAACCTGACTTTTGTCCACCCCAGCTGCCCAATGTCTCTTAAGTTGCAGTATTGAGAGCCGTAAAATATATCCCGTCTCATTCAGCTGAAGGCTGGGCATTTGCAAAGATAATGTTCCAGCGCCTAATCAACTTTGCGATTGTTAATGTTCCAAGACCTGAGGTGTTCCTCTAGGGTATATTGCTTCAAACAAGGACTTGGAGGAGCTGAATAGTCTAGGGCAGCTAAGAGGAATTGCGTTCCTACCTGCCCACGAGCGGGCCACCTGCCTGTTTGCCTGTTCGTTTCCGTCTATTCCTATATGACTGAGTACCCAGATGATATTAACCGAGTTACCTACTGAGAGTCTAGTTATTGTCTGCTTGCATATCTTAACGCAGTCAGACTTAATATTGGCGCGACGGATAACCTTAATTGCCATTTGGTTGTCTGCTAAAAGGTTTTTCTTCCCCATAACTTCGGCCTTAAAGGGTCAATTGTAGTAATTTAGTTTGAAGCCACCCTCTGCGTATGTATTACTCCAGAAGAAGCTCGCTCCTATTTTACTCTTTGAATCATCGGTGAATTTGTTGATTTCGTAGTTGGAACTGTCGATCACAGAACTATTGGTCCCTTTTTTCTTTACTGGGGAATGAAAATGTTGTATTTATTTCCTCATGGAATTTCGTCCCTGTAGTCGAGTCTGGCTACAATGGCCCAAAGTCATGAGTCAACTGACGGCAAGCATTGCCTCATACTTCCACCAGAGCCTTTGTTAACATTTAGTTGGTGTCAATAAAAATTCTATGGATATTAAATATCGACTGAAAAAACAGCTATCATACGTAGCACCAAACCTGGAAGGATTTACGAGTCTAAAGCAATCAATTATGTCAAAATCATAGCTAAACTACCCGACATGCTCGCAAAAGGAAAACAAAACGCAACAAAAAGCGGCTCAAAGTAATGTCGCTCGATGAAAAGTCCATATATATGAGATAAGGGTGATAAAAATATTTGAAAAATAAAAAAGGTTTTCATTAGGTTAACACCAACACAAAAAATGACACATCCTGTTTTAAAAAAAAAAATACATAATAATTATTTATTTTAAATGAAATTTCATAAGAAAACTCGTCTCCTTCGTACTTTGATTATAATATCGATGCATATTTGAATTTGACGTTGAGAACTATTTCTAGCACGTAAAATCATAATACTAGGCCTCAAAAAATGTTTCCCCAAAATCTTTTGAACAGAACCTTTAATTTGGAAGCATATACATACGTATCTATATACTTATAAAATTAATTATACACTATATTCTAAGTATATTCTATGTATTGTATATACATATATGTACTTGTATATTTAAAACTCTCCACAGCACGTCTTTATATAATTTACTATACGACTATATAATACGGCGATTTACTTAAGTATGCATTAATGCTTTTGTATTAATTTTAATATTTAACAATGCTTTAATTATACTTAATGTGAGAGTATTTTTTATATTTGTAATTAATGCAATAATCTTTTTTTACACAGAATGATATGTTAATGCAATTTGGAACAATCGATGTACATATGTATGAGTGGATAGTACTTATTGCGCTGTTTTTTTTTTTTTTTGTTTTTTGAAGTAATTAGAATGAATAAATTTGTGTTTTCCCAATATTTACAAAGAATTCCGATAGTCATATAAGTATGTATATGACGGTCGAGAACCGAACGCATCATTCATTTCGTAAACTCTCCGGTTACTTGCTGATAATTTAGGCTTAGGTATTCGTATAGTATTTGAACCTTCGATAAAAAAAAATTAAAATTTATTAAATGATTATTCAAGAATGATAGAAACGAAATTACGCCATCTTTCAGACTATAGAATGAGAAAAGGCAGCATAGAAAAACTGTCAAATGGCCTTTAAATTGTAAACAAAAACGTAACCACTTCTTTAGCCTTTGACGTTACGATTGCAGTTTTGTTTTCTCATGAACCGAGGTGTGGGTCACTTACGACAACGTCAAGCAAAAACGGTTGTAATCGACGCAGTTAGCCGACGAAAACAGCGACGGAGTTAAGATTGACAGTGTGACATCTACTATAAGCTGCTCCCCTGCAATCAAACTCTTCATTCGGAATTGTACTGTCAACAATGGGAAAGAGCCAACCGTCCAGAAGCGGTGACATTTGGCCAATAGCAAAGGAGTTGTGTTCCATCGGGACAACTCCAGGCTACACATCAATAGTGACTCGCCAAAAGCTCCGTTAGCTTGGTTGGAACGTTCGTATCCATTTTATAGTTCGAACTTGACACTAAGTTATAAGTTTAGTTTAAGTATTTTTATTCTTATTATATACTATATATATTTATATACTTTAGAATTTTGCGATCTGGCGATTTACAGATTTATCGTAAAGTTTAAAATTGTTGATGTAATACATACTCGAAACGTTTTGACATACGAGCGCTATTTGTGTTGTTTACAGTAACTTAAAATATTCATCTCGGCCAAAAAAGGGTATTAAATCGCGAACGTTTTACCGCGATTATTTTTTAAACTTTCGACAGGGGTTAACTCAGCAACAGTGCATCGATGAACTTAATTAAATTTTTGGCGATGAAATTCCATTAAGGACGCAATCGACGTCGTAGATCAGTCCAAGACGAATTTCGTGAAGGTCGTCCAAAATCAGTTGTTGTACGGGAAGCTATTGATGCCAAGCGGAAACTGATATTGCAAGATCGGCATGTGACCTATCATGAGATTGAGACAATTATAGGCATTAGTGGGACCAGCGCAATGTTGCTTATTGCAACATATTGCATGAACATTTGAGTCTAAAAAAAATTTGTTCACTTTGGATCCCACACAAATTATCAATTGGTCGAGAGAAAGGTTAAAAAAATACGATAGCGGTGCTTCGAAACACGTCTACGAAATCCTGACACGTGATGAATAGTGAATTTACGCGCATGAGCCTGAAAGTTAACAGCACTCGATTCCGCTATTTTTTTGTCAGGAAAACCAACCGCCGAAGAGGGAACCCTCTTCACCACGACAATGCGACCTCACACACATCGACTGAAACAACTTCATTTTTGAGCACTCAAAGCATCGATTTGATAAGCCATCCACCGTATAATCTTTGACTTGGCACCGAGTGACTTCTTTTTAGTACGTACGTAACGCAAAAAATAAACTTAAAAGTCAACGTGTTTATACACTGAATACGCGGTTTAGGCGTTCCGAACGGATGTTTGGGAGATACCCTCAATCAGAGAAGCAAAAGTGCTTCGACAATTGGTTCGCAAATGCCTGCAAAAGTGTATAGATCTTAATGGAGAATATTTTGAAAAACAATAAAGCTATTTTCAATAATTAATAATTTTTTTTGTTCTCTAGTCGCTTATTTTTTACACAACCATAACATACAGTTGTCAGAAAAATAGTCGAATTGGTTGCTTGGAATGCCTTTTGTTGGTTTAGCCAGTATGCCTTAGGCTCTCGTTTACACCTGAACCGAACATTTGACAAAATAACAAAATAAGACACCGACGTTTTGCTACATTCAGAGATCTATAAAGCCTTCCACCCATCGCAGAGGGCGTATAAATTTTAAATTATCAGCATATACAAGTTTTCTACATTTGCACACTAATTTAAGGCTTTATAATCCGTTTATACGATGGTAGAGTGTAAGTAAAAAAAAAATTAATATTTTCAATAAAAATATCAATTAGAGTTTAGTCAACGCACGTTGAAAAAAAATAATTTACACATTGAATCTCTGGTAGCGCTGTTGGGTGACAAACCGGTGGCTTGCGTACACAAGAGTTTCGGTTAGAATTGTCAGTTCGGCCTCATAGAAACTTTATTAGAAGTATCTGTTAACGCTGTTAGGTAACTAGCCGGTAACGGCTTGCAGTGCGTAATTCGTGCATTTATGGTTTTTCATGGTGTCCCAAATTATTTCTGTGTTCAGTGTTTTGATTTTTTGCGTAATTAAAATTATAACTATGTATATTTTTCTTAAAAAAAATATTAAATATATGTATTTATAATTTTTAATAATTTTGTGTGTTTGTGCCGCTTTTACTCTGATTTGCTTATACATACATTAAGTTCGATCTAATTATGCGTTGTCTCGTTGCTGTATTTGTGCATAATTATTAAGACATTTGCATGGGTATTTACCCATACGTTGATTATATTTACATTAACGTTTGTGATTTAATATGCGAGTGGCAAAAGAACACTCGCTAAAATAACAAAATTGGTGTAATTTAATTTCAGCTAGAATTAATCAATTTAAATATTCATAACGAAAAACTCCCAAAATATCAACCACAAACAAAATAGAATATATTTTTGATAGCTGCGATGTTGCCAAGCTTTTTACATAACTGTAGCGAACGCGTTTCAGAGTTGCGTGTTCTTTTGTCAATGACCTTCAAAACAAAATCATTATTTATAGACATATGTATTTGTGTTAATTATATTAAGTTATTTTTAGATACTCGCGCTATTTATAATACGTATATTACTTATACGTATTTATGGTTTTTTTTTTTTAAATTGCATTTACCTAACTAACTGAAATACAATAGTTTTGACTTGAAATTTTTCTTTTTGCTTTGGCTACTATGCAAGTGAGCAACCAAATTTTCAAAAAAAATTTCACCATAATTTATTTACAAATACTTCGGCTGGCAACAGTAACTTACATACATACATACTAAATGTTGACTTTTACGCTTTAATACGCTTACGTAAAGTGCAACTAGTTGGAAGATAAATGCCGCATGAATCGCAAATTTTATTTTAATATCCTTTGTTGTTGTTGTTTTTTGTAATTGTTTGTCTTTTTTATATGCCTATAATATTGTACAATATTTCAGTATTATAACTGTTTCTTTTTTGTTTGCTTTATTTTCCTATACTTACGCTTGTATATGTGTGTATTATATTTTGTTATGCATGTATGTTTGATGTCTACTTCTTGTTGCCTTGCTGCTTTGCTTAGTTATTCTAGACCATTTTACATTTCACTTTGTATCTCTTTCTTAATGCACTTGTGCTTAATTGTAATACTTGCCTAAAATTTTCTTTTTAATCACTAAATCGCGCTTAGTTACTAGTTTTAATATCTTTTGCTTGTGTTGCAGTTTGCAAGCTGCACGCTACGGTCCCTCTCTCTCCCTCTCTCTTCATTTCTCCCTTCTTTTTATATCTCACTCTCTCTCGTTCTCTACTCAGCTGGAACTATTTTCTGATCCAGATCGGGTTTCGTATCGTCCGGATCTAAACTTAAGCAGTCGGCAAAGTAGTGCTCCATTGAGAGATAGACGTGTTCCAGCACCCCGGACAGCTCGTGACCTTCGTCCGCGTATGTCTTGAAAATAATATAAAAAGCATTTTAACGATTTGACCTTTACATTATTGTTGTATTGCACTCACCTGATATCTGTACAAGATGTTGGCGTCCGTTAGCGATTTGGCCAACTGTATGCCATGTATATAGGGTGCAGTTGAATCGGCTAAGCCGTGTATTAGGAAGAATGAGTGTGATTTGATGAGACGCGCACGCTGCGTTGCATCGGCTTCGACATAGCCTTTGTAGTTCTCCGCAGGCAGACCTAATATGCGTTCTGTGAAAGCGGAATCTGTGGGTAAAATGATTTGATGAGAAAATTGCAATTAATTCAAGGTTGAAGTTAGCTTTGGATACCGTTAGGGTTTAAAATAATATTTATGCTCAAATAAAAGACTTCCTGCCACCTATAGACCTCTTCGCTGAAAACTGCCATGGAAACAATGAAACTCCATCTGGTATCGCAAAGCACTAAAACTAGTATATTCGTGGCTCGTTATCTTAACAGACTAACCTAACCTAACCTAAAAGACATCATCTAAATTTTATTTCGGTTATCTGATCGTAAGAACTATCATGGTCTTATGACACATATGAATTGGTCCAAACGTTATGTGTACCTTTTTTCCTGTTTTTAATAGTTACTGAATGGTAGACACAGAGTCCTAAAATTGAATTCAAATAAGTATTAAGCAAATTATATTTAAACAAAACCATACCAGCCTGAATATCAGTCGAATGGGAACATTTTTTTGTAGGATCCGCCATATTACATTTCCAGAGATATGCACTTTCTAACTGCTCCTTAACAGAACTCACCGTTAGAAGATTTCTAAAACAAGGACTGGCAGCTTTAAAAATTATAGCCGAAAAATATAATTTATAATATATCACGAATGGTTCGATGCACAAAGGAGATGTTGATGGGGAAAGCTCTCTAACGTCTTTGGGCTCTAGGCTTACTCACCAAGCTCTAAAAACTTAGGGACTGCTTGTTCACACTCTTAATGGTGACAAGCTATTTCTTCTAAAATAAACATTCAGCAAGTTGCTAATGTATAAATTTTTGTAATGGGCCATACTTTCTTAACCGTAGCACTTTTGTGAGAAGTCCAATCCTCTGGCAATTCTTGAGCCATTTATAAAATTTCGTGAACGTATTGATATTTATATTGAGCGCGAGACATATCATCGATGCGTGGATTTCTTTCGTTTCTAATATTATGGTATCGAATAAATATATACTTGAGGGTTAGCCATTCTAACTTATATTGACGAAAATAGTTTTTCATTGTATGGTTTTTTTATAATTAGCTATTAGATCGGGAACAAATTACGCAAAGCATTACTTACTATAGTAGAGCCAGTCGGCGATTGGCGATATGGCTATGCCACATTTATACACATCCTGTTGTGTACCGAGCACCATTGAAGTTACGTAACCCCCATAGCCCCAACCCCAAATACCCACACGCGTTTCATCTAAAAAACTAATTGTATCTAAAAGATATCTGCAATAAAAATAATAAATTAAGTGTTTCAAATTTCCAATAAATCGAGTGCAGGCAAACCTTAAAACAGAAATCTGATCCTGTACTTCGACGCCGCCTAAGTGTCGGTACAGTTGCTTTTTACTTTGGCCCTTCGCGCCACGAACATCTAAGCGTATATAAATGACATCGTTACGCGATGACATATAGGTACCCCAGTCTATTTGAAATTTCTCCGAAACAGACTCGGAACCTGGGCGGCCATTGCTGTCGGAAAAAAGAAAAATAGCAAGTTAAGATTGATATTTTTTCTTAAAAACTCTACGCACTTACACTTCGACCACCACAGGAAAGGCGGCATCCCTAAGCTCTTCACGCCAACTAGGCGGTAGAAGTAATTGCACTTGTGCCCGACTCCCATGTGGCAATGGTATTTCGAATGAACGCTGTGTCGGTAGCGCCAACTTTTGCAGGCGCTCCGTAAAGAACGGACGGGTGTCGTAAAGTATTTTCACCAAACTATGCGATTTCTGCATATGCACACCAGACACCGGCAGGCCGGGTCCCTGACATTCTAATATGTAAAATTCAATACCATATTGAGTTGCTATGGAAGACACTGGTGTCATGAAGGCATCGAAATGAGAACAATTCACATAGTAGTAGCGACTGCTCCAAAGCGCTTCGCCCAAATCGCAGGTAATGCACTGAGGTTCAGTTCTGAAAAATATTTGCAAAAAAAAAAATCTTACAACGCCGCATTTTACAATTACAAAGAGAACTCACTTTCTACTCTCATCGTTGACGGGATCTTTCACCATGTACAAATGACGCTGGCCGGGCTTTTTGTCTTGTGTACCCAGATAATACACGAAATGATTGACAGTGTCCCAGCAAAGAATTTTTAGTACCTGTTAAAAAAAACCATAAATAAATTTTATTATTAAAAGGATAATATTATATTTTGAAATTACTTGTCATAAGTTCTTACCTCATAGCGTCCATGTGATATAACGGCAATACGTTGTTGTGTCATTGTGACATGTTTGATGTGTGTAAAATGCTCATTACCGAATTCTTGTATACTTGCCAATATTAGAAAACTATTGCCGTCCGGCGCGAAAACAGGATGCGGAAGTATATCGAGCCACTCATCTTCGGGAGCACGCTCAGAGTGTATCTGTGGAGCAGAAAACCAGCGATAATTGCTTGATAAACTTTGTTTCCGACTTGACAGTCTGTAGTCGAACATAAATACGAGTGTGTTACGAGAGCCTCGACCACTAGTCTACAGAAGTTTTTCACAGTATAACTTGTGACTACTTGAAACTTCTTTCCTGTGTACGGCCCATAGAAAAACAATAGATAAATTATCAAAATCTAGATTTACTTTGAATTTAGTAGCAACACTTAGTTGCAAACCAATATCGCAATATCTAAGAAATCCGTCTGAAAAATTCAATCAGTAATCCAGAAATGTTTAGGGAAAGCTCTACGACTTCCCACGCTTTCTCACAAATCACCGCTGTCGTTTTTTTTTTAATAGTTGAAACCCGTTTTAGAGCAAGCCTCGAGGATTTATAGCGTATGGACAGCAGAAGAGACTCTGTCCAGTGGGCCGTTCTTATCATAATCTTCAAATAATTTATGGTATAAATTACACGGTTACCAGTTTTTAAAAATTCTTGAAAATAACCCTGCTTTTCGTTTCTCTAACGATTGAATAATTTATGCCACTTAGCAGACTTCACTAAAACTTTTTATACTGATGAGCTCCATCAAAAGCTCAAGGTGGTTCAGAGAGGACATAATATAATGAGGGGTTTTTAGTCCTGATAGCTTCACAATGAGCCTAGGTGCCCTGTCAGACATCCTCTCTACCTACCTACCTACTTGACAGATTTCCCTATTACGCTTCGGAAAGAATCTGAAGTTTCATTAATTACCTCGACACAAGTCCAATTTGTATCCGCAAGACAAGTGGCGATTATACTATAATTTTGAGAGCGTGTGATGTAGACAACAGAAACTTGATGATTTAGTTCTGAGATCCAGCCGGCCGATGTTATATAGAATTCCCTGTAAAATGGCAGTTGGTAAATATAAATAATTTTATGAACAATCACTTCTATACTCACTGGTCATCTAAGCTAGGAGGCGGTTTCAATATAAAATATTGTATGTCGGTCAAATTACTAGCATCTACCACCCAAAGTGTGACCTCGGGATTCGGGGAGCCGGGTATAGGATAGCGCACATTTTTGGTTTCAGGAAATGAAGTTTCCGGTGACATACTGCTACCAGCGATAATACTGCCTGACGCCAACCATGGGTATGTCATCATATTCACTTTGCTGTCATTGAAGGAGGCATACATGAAGTGTGTACCGTCTTGTGAAGCCCATATCGCTTCGGGTTTTTCGAAAATTTCCTCTATAATTTAAAAACATATTTAAGATCAGAATTTTACAGGTGTCTAGTATTTACGTATGTACTGTACTCACCCTGATAGAGCCAATCTGGTACGCCATTGTAAATATAATTTTCATACCCTGTATTTGTGATTCGGATATCCTCCTCGTCAGTGGGTGATTGTCGTAAATAAATATCGTTGTCGGCAACGATGACCAACGAGGTAGTGTTGCCTAGCCAAGCGGCATATTGTAGACGCGTACGCTGCACTTTTGGTGAATCCTTTAGTTTCACAGGCATATGGTGATCGTTTTCAACGTCGTAGATTGTATAAAATGCGGTAAATGATTTTCGAAAAATCTGAAAAAAACAACAATTTCATTAAGAATGACTTATCTTAGAATAAAATGCCCCAACGAGGCTTGTATAGCAGAATTTAAAAAATGTTCAATGTCGAAAATTTGTAACAACTCTTCCACTTGAAAAAATGGATGGGTAGGGTGTCCCAACAAGAGCTTATGTATATTATTCTCATCTCAAGTGTAGCCTACTTCGATTCGATGGTATTAGCAGGAACTCTACATTTCAAACACTCGTTTAAGGGAAGCTTCCATTATTCATTATTCAAGGTTGACGAAAAAGTGGATTTGTGATTATGGAAAGTGTTAAAATAATCTATATATATCTATAGCTATGCTAAAGAGGCTCACTTTCAGTAGTAATATAAACTAATTTAAAGCTCCGAGAGAAATAGCAAAATTTTTCAAAGTCAGAACATAAAAAAATGTATTAAAAAATATAAATAAATATATTTTGTTGTGCCGTTTTTAGATAGGTAGGTAGAGTGGCTGTCTGATGATGCACCTAGCCCTTTAGGAAGCCCATTGTCACTCTATTGTTTCCTCTCTGAACCACCCCATTCTTCTGATGAAGTTCATGAGTACAAAAAGTTTTATCTGTGCAACCTCCGAAATATCGGCAAGAAATCCTCGACTGATAGTTGCGATTCTTTTCCTATACAAAACTTTGCAATCGAAAAGAAGATGTTTTATAGTCTCCTGTTCCTCTACCCGCTGAAAGTTCAACAATATTCATTATATGGTGTTCCTAATCTGTTAGAACTCCGCTAGAGTTCATATGTTCTTTCTTTTTAATTTCTACTCGGCATTTCATTCATGCCACGTTTGCCTTCTTGTTGAGCAAGTTAGCTTCAAGTAGTCAGAGGCGTTTCAATTCGATCTTTTCCAGAGTCTAATTGTATGGTGATGCTTCTTCTGGCTAGTTCATCTGCTTCAAAGTTACCAGAAATATTACTATGTCCTAGAACCCATTGCAGGTTTATTGTAAAATAGTATGCTAGATCCACTAAAAGACCAAGGCATTCCTTAACTAACCTTGACGAAACCTTAAGAGACTTTAATTTCAAAGCCGTTTAGCTATCAGTAAATAGTAATATCTAGTTGTGAGCACACTTCACATCAGAACAACCGGTTTTTATTAATTGCTCTGATCTCCGCTTTGAACACACTGCAGTGGTTTTGTAGACAGAAAACGATTTTGGTGCCTACAGGTTGGTTGAAAAGCTGGTTGGTCTCCCCAAGAAATAGCGCTACTAGCTCCACATTTGTTTTTTCTCTCGTTGGTACATCTGTCGTTAGAGCACATGCAAAGTTACAAGTCATTCTGTCAATTAATTGTTTGTTTACAACCCATGTGAGGTTGACGTGTCACATTATTTTGTTTATATAGAAAAAATTTTATATCGCGCAGTGATTAATCTCTTTGTTTTGAAAGGTTTAAAAGCAAAAGAAATTTATGAGCAATTGTTAGAAGTGTATAAGGAGTCCTCACCTTCAAAACGCACTATTGAATTTTGGGCTGGTGAATTTAGACGTGATCGTACTAGGCTTGAAGACGATCCATGAAAAGGACGACCAAAAACCACAACCACACCACAAATCATTGAGCAAGTTCATAATATTGTTAGTGAAGATCTAAATTTGACTAAGCCTGAAATTGGTAATGCCATAGGCATCTCAGACGAATGAGTACTTCACATTTTACATGGAGAATTACATATGAAAAAGCTGTTTGGAAAGTTAGTGCTGCGCACGTTAACAATTCAAAAAACACTGGATCGAAAACATATTTCTCAGCATAATTTCGAACGTTTTAAGTTGAATAAAACCGATTTCTTTCGTCGTTTTATAGCTGTGGATGAGACTTGGATCTACCACCATGATCCTAACTTGAAACAAGAACGTTTACAGTGGACTGAAGCCGCTCCAAAGCAGGTGTTCAGCTCCAAAGCAGGTGAAGTCACAACGATCAGCAAAAAAGATTAGGGCATCCGTTAATTGGGATGCAAAAGGAATTTTGTTAATGATTATCTGATAAGAAAGATAAAACAATCAACTTTGAATAATATTGCAGCCTTTTGGATCAGCTGGATGAAAAAACTCGTGAGAAAAGACCTGGTTTGCAGGTGTTTTACCAATGAAAAAATTCATCGAATTAAAGTACGAATAGTTTGAGCATCCACCGTATTCATCAGATTTGGCTCCCAGCGGCTACTACTTCTTCATAAACCGGAAACAATTCTTTCGTGGAAAGCGTTTTTCGTCAAATGAAGAAGCTATTACAGCCATAGACGGGTATTTTGCAGTGCTTCCGAAAAGTCATTATAAGGATGGCATAAAATTCTTGGAGGATCATTAGAATAAGTGTATTGAAGTTAAGGGAGATTATATTGAATTAAGAAATATATTGCGTACCAAAAGCCGTTTCGAGCACAGAAACTTTTCAACCAACCTGTGATTTTGCTGAAAAGACATCAACTCGATTATCTAGTTTTGGCCCAATTCTTATCCCTGCCATTTCGCCCCTTCCCACTATTCTCTTGAATGGAAGGCAATAATGGGGACCAACAGTCGGGTCTAAGTAGCCGGAACGGCCCCGGATTTTTATCCGGCCAAGGACTGTCAACTCGGCATCGTTCCGCGAAACTACTTCGGGAATGTTTTCTGCCGCTAAAACAACAACAACCGAATTTAAGTTCAATTCTATAGGGTTATGAAAATCCGTGGTATTTTCAGATATGTATTTCAATAATTATTTATCTAATAAATACCTTTTTAACATTATGTCTAAATAGAACATATCGCAGATCGTGTGAGCACTGATAGCCGCGTACATTTAACTGCCGCAGCGTGTGATTCGTAACGAGCGTGCTAACCGAATTGCTGGTCGTATCCAATATGGCCAGTCCGCCATCATCTGACTGGAAGACATACTTACGCGTCGTAACCCAAGCGGGTTGTAGACGTGTGGGCGTCAAATCGCCTTGCAGGTACTCGTCGAGTATCATGCGACGACCCGACCAATACAGCAATTCATCAACATAGCTACAAGGTGAAAAAGATTCAACATAAATTAATACATAGATAGGTATACCCGTATGCTGTGGTGAATTGTTGAAAGTGTCACTTACCCTAATAGATAAATTGCGGTTATAATTCCGGCTATTACAAAACTAATAACTAGCAGTGAAAATATGATACTACGCCAATTATGACCTTCGTCCAAATCTAAATCGTCATTCTTCTGTTTGGGATCTTGTACTTGCAGTGTTTCATCAGGTGGCAGTCGCCATGAACCGCCGCCACCACCACGATCCGATGTGACATTAGCATGCATTGCAATTTATCTCTAAGATTGGCAGGAAGCTTTCAATTCAACAGCAGTAAAATACTTGTAATTGCATTGCCAGCGGAAGTTGTAATTTCGAAGACAACGTTGTGGAAGGAAGCACCAAAGTTGAGAAGCACTTTTTACTTAGTTGATTTTTGAAAGTGATTATCTTCAATTTGTTTATCCAGCACATCATTTATATGTACATTTCTTAGTAGTTTTTGTGGACGTTGAGAAATGAGAAGGAAAGTGGAAGTTACCTAGAAAAATAAGAAAATTTACTCATAAATAATTTTAGTATTTCATATTCATAAATACAATATAATATAAATTAATTTCATTTCATTAAAGAACTTATGGCAATATTTTCAGACATCGCTAACCGACACTAGTTGCCCCAACAGAATTCCCAATATAACGTTCCCACTGCGTTGGGCTTACGTAACCGGAAAGGATCTGAATTTCGTGTCTAAATTTCAAAAGATCCGGTGTAGTAATTTTGAACTTTGGGTAGTGCACTGATTTTGAAAACGTGAGTTGGGGGGAAAACGCTTTAAAGTTTTGAACACTAAAAAAACCTTAATTTTGGCTGCACCGAACTGCTTCATACGTATATTTTTATGGTATAAAAAGGTATCTATTTATACCCTTTATTCTGATTTTGATCGGGCAGCTTGAAGATATCTTGTAAAACAATAAAGTTTTCAATACAAGGACTTGAGTTCGATTGAACAGTGGCAGCTATATGCTTTAGTAGTTGGATCAATTCATTCGGTGTTTGTAGCAATGCCTTGGATAATAATCTACACTAAAATTTGTGAAGTTACCTTGACAAGTTTCTATATAAGGACTTAAGTTGGACCGGCCAGTTTGTATGGCAGCTATATGCTAAAGTTACCCGATATCTATATTAAAACATAATTATTAAGTTGAAACAAGTAAGGAAGGGCTAAGTTCGGATGTAACCGAACATTTTATACTCTCGCAAAGTCAAATGGTATACTCGTTTGAGATTTTCTATCAACTATGGGCACTTGGGTCCACATATTTAGTACTTAGGGGCTTGAACAGTTTTAGCTCGATTTATACAATTTTTGGTCACAAGGTGGCATACTTTAAACGTATTATTCACGCAAAGTTTTACCCCGATATAATCATAGTTGCTTGATATGCATAGTGGAAAGTGAAAGAATCAGATGGAATTGAAAATGGTGTTACATTGGAAATAGGCGTGGTTGTAGCCCATTTTTGCACTATAACATAGAAATATGAAAAGAACGTTACGCACCGAGTTTGGTTGAAACTGTCTAATTTTGAACACGGTTCCTATAAAGTCATCTTATATCATCCCAAAGATAAAATTTAATGTCTCTGGCGTGTTTAGTGCTTGATTTATCGCGCTTTTAGTAGTTTTTAACAGTACCGTTATATGGGGAGTGGGCGGAGTTGCCACCCGATTTCATCTATTTTCACACCGTCAATAGAGGACGGATCAGGATCAGGATTTCAACTCGTCTCTTCATCCTGATCATTTATATATATATATAACCCTATATCTAACTCTATTAGTTTTAGGTGATACAAACAACCGTTAGGTGAACAAAACTATTATACTCTGTAGCAACAGGTGGCGAGAGTATAAAAATATGGTTTACAGCATGAAACGAACAATACTTAAACATGTGCATGGAAGTCTTCGGGTCTGGAGAGAATGTCATAATAATACTAAAATTCATGACAATTGCTTTGCTCTGCTCATGCTCCGCCCAACGTTACCGTTATGTCGAGCTTTACAATCCAACATTTCATGAGGGTCCTTTTTTTCACACGGGTATGTTCAAATGGCAAATGGTAGTTTATAGTCCTTAGTGATAAAGGGCTATGACTGACCAGTTTGAAGCCAACTGTGGGCGTGTTATGGATTTTCATAAAACGAAATCGAGGTTACCAATCGCCCGAATTGCTCTTCAAACAGTATGTGCTACAAAATTTAAAAATATTTTTATTCGTTAGTAATATTTCTGTTTATGCATTAGTAAAGACATACGCCCTACAAAATATGCATTTTTTCTGCGACCGTCGCAGTTTAGTGGCTAAAGCTGCAAAATACAACTATGAATAAGGATGTTACAAATCCTGTTAGAGCCAACATCAAAAATTTTATTCTTATAGAACCCATTCCTTAGAATACAATACTAATTAGGAGATCAATAGAAGGTATGATATTCGAAATGACCCTCAAAGGCTTGTAAAAAAAAAGGGAAATTAAAGAAAGGATTACTTATGGAAATATAAAACCTTTTAAGTTTTTTATGGTATGAACATGGTATATTAAGTTTGCCACGAAGTTTGTAACACCAATAAAGAAGTGTCGTAAACTGCTTAAGCTACACCTTGCGACAAGAAAACTTCCGGAAATTGTAAATATAACGAAAAATGTTTAATCTTCATCAATATTTATTTTGTCGCTTTCAAAATATGCTCCTTCTGAAGCAATACACATATGCCACCACTTTTTCCAACCATCGAAACATGCCGTATAGGCGCTGTCCGGGATCGCCTTCAGTTCCTTTTACGGCCTCAATTGAAACGAGTTCCACGGAGTGGTAACTTGAGTTTTGGAAACAAAAAATAGTCACTTGGAGAAAAATCCGGTGAATACGGTGGTTGATCGATTGTATTGAACGAGTTTTTGGTCTTAAAATCCTTCACAGCTACAACTCGGTGCGGTCTTTTTGCAAAAAAAATTCAACTTGGAACAAGCCGAGCATTAGCGCGTATCATGCTCAAATTATCGGTCAAAATCAAAAGAGCTGCTACACGGCCGATGTGCTATCTCTCTTACACTCGCATGACGATTTTCGAGCACGGTTTCCTTCACTTTTTTGATGTTATTGTGAATTTTTATAATTATAGTTAAGGACAGTGCTACCAACTTAACAAAAAAAGTGCTGAAAAATATTCCGCGCGGGCAGTTTAAATAACAATTTCCGGAAACTTTCTGGTCACAATGTATATGTATGTATACATATTATATAATAATCATCGTGACGAGCTCGATTGATTTAGCCATATCCATCTGACTGTATATACGCTAACTAGTCCCTTACCTTATGTGATATCGCTTCGATACATACCTAGGAGTACTGGGCATCCCAACGCAGAAGAATATCTAGCTTCGGGGCTTCGTGAGCCTATTTACCTAACCTAACTTAACCTACATTATATTAAGTATACTTAAAACTTGATCGACATAAAATCGGGCTTGGATCTCTCGGCAAAGGAATGTCATATGGATATAATATTGCTTTGAACTGAGAGTAAACTGAAAAGTCAACGAAAATGTCATTATTTGTATAAGTAGTTATTTGATGGTATTTTTATATCGTCATTTTTTGCAATGGTTCAGTGGGTCTAAATATATAAAGACTACCGTTTTAAGCAAATACGTCTTTGAAGCTTTTCTTACCGTCAACATAACAGCAGCCTACGTCTTGATAGAAATATGCATATGTATACAGGATGCAACCACTTATGTAAGTAAATAGTCTCTCATACCACTAACAACGTAGCTACATACAAACAAGTATATAATACATAACAATCTGCAGACAAGGAATCGATGTTCCCAATTCTCAGCGCTGGCCCGACAAACATACACCACAAAGCAAAACTCGTCCTTGACCAAAACAAAAGAACTCACAATGCCGTTCAATGGCTATTCATTAGAGATTTTAATCATAATTACATAATTTCTAGCCTAATAAACATTTAAGCGTATGTTACTGCTTTGCCATGATCAGGGTCGTCTGAGAGTTCACTTCATCACTTCATGACGCTACGCAAAGCCGCAGAGCGCTGAGGCGGCAATCACTACGAATACTACTAAATATGTAGTGCAGCAAACAAGCGATAAGGGCGACCTTACACAACTTGCGGCATATTAGCGCATGCCACTCATCCTCGGATTTCATTCCACTCCATACCGATGTTATGTAATGTAAGCATACCTTGAAAATATTTTTTTCTACGGTCTCACAATGGAAAAAGGTGGCAACAAATAATTTCTAATTTTTCATATAAAAATCTTAAAGTCATTGATGTGGAAATCACCAAGTCATTATGGCGTCCCACTTATGTAGGTGCAGACGAAAGAGTAAAGCAAACGATGAGGATAAATGACTGCAATCGTCATATTCGCTGGCTAAATAAATGCAAAGGTCAGCATATTTGATTGATGATGATTTGATTTTGTACTTCTCACTAATGTAGGTATGGTATGAACTTAAGAGCGCACTCAGATTCATTTATAATCATATGCAAATGTTTTTAGGGATTACGAACGCAAACTCATACCAATTCTGAGCAAAAGAAATATTAAAAGAAAGTAAATTAATTATTAATATTTTTTATGTTTACAGCTTTGCTATGCTTTTGGAATTAAAATTACTATGTCACAGCTCCAAAACCTGAAATACATTAGATAAACTATATTCTGTATGTTTTGGAGATACAAATGGAAACTTTTGATCGTAAATCTGTCAGATATGGCCACTTTCTTTATATTTCGACAAGTCACACCAAGAGCCATATTAAATTGTATATATCGGATATCCTATAAAAGATATATATATATTATATATAAATTATCAGCTTAACGAGCTGAGCCGTCCATTCTATGTCCGTCTGTCCGTCTTATTTGAAAGTTAATGTCCAAGGGATTGGACAGCGTTGTACAGATGACTAGCTACTTTGCATTCCCGCTTCCAGAACCAAGCAAGCTTGATGAGATTTCAGCTCGAAAAATATGTATATGATTAACGATAATTTTAACATGCCTTAAGTCTTTTTATAACTGAGCGACAAAAAAATACTCTGTGAAATATTTACTGAATCTTATTATATCATTTATTATAAATGACATATATGTATAAATACCAGGGTTATTCCAAATATACGTCGGCTAAATAAAATCGATGAAGATTGTTGCCAAACACAAAAAGAGCTCGCAGAATCTGTGGAGCTCACTCAAGCAGGAGCCATTTCAAAACTTTTTGTAGAATTAAGTGAAAGAAAACTACTAAAATCAAACAGGGATATACTTAAATATACCTATAAACTTATCCGAAGAGAACTTTTGTTTCCGACAGAATGTATTCTGCAATATTATATACTGGACATTATAATAATAAATTAACCAGAGTAAAGAAAACACTGAATATTTCGTTTCAGTAAGACGGTGCTAATAGGTACGGTTTGG